AGGGAATTAAGTTGTTTCAATTGATCTTTTGACAAATTTTTGTACTTTTAGGTTTAGCAGGTCATGTGTACACATTGTTTGGTTAATGTAAAAGTATGAAATCAATACAAGGAGTCATATAATTTTTTTTATACTTGATCCTTGGTGTCTCTTCTTCCCCACATCACCACCACTGCGTGTGTGGTTGCGTTCAGGTGTGAGATCATTATCTCACATCTAATTCGGCAAGAAGCAGCAGCATAATAGCAGTAATTCACAATCTTCAAAGAGGCTATGTATCAAACTATATAGATTCATTCATAAATTTTCAAGAATTGATATTCATCAATTGGCCAGAGATTTAGAATCATCCATAAAGAGTTTGAAAATCCATTATTGTTGGGAATTGGGTGTCGAAGGACAACTGTTTTGATTCTTTTCTTCTTTTATTGTATTGACCCTATTATTTTTTACGATTTTATTATTTAATTTCATGATTATGAGAGGCTAAATAATGTTTATTTGATTTCATAACAAATTTCCCCTCCTCAGTCAATGAATGAGTATATGTTGATATTGACAAATAGATTTAGCTTATGTTTAACTCCTATTTTGATTTCTATTTTCTAAAATTCATTTTCAAGCACATATTATATAGAATCCACAATTTTCATTAATTTTTCAATCACTTATTTTAGAGCCTGTTTGGGAGAGCTTTTCTCCCAATTTGAGCAATTAATTGATCGTTACTCATTTCAGAATGGGCACCAATTTGGTAGCAAAATTTGATGTGTTATAAATGAAATACCGAAAATGCCCATCTTGCATGTAAAATGAATTTAATATTAAGGGTAAAAAGGTCATTCTAACATATAATGGTCCAAAATTGCGGCTGCAATGTTTGAAATTATGCAGCAACCGTATTGTCTTGGTGAAAAGCAACAGTCCAAATTTTAGTTATCAACGGTCGAAATTGCAATTTGAAGTGCGCTCAGCCCTCATTAATTTTTATCGAAATTATCTTCAAACATAATTTTTATCAAACCAAACGGAGGCTTAGTTTCCCAATAGCTAAGGACATGGAGCTAAGAATAATGATACTTAGAATCACTTAGTGTTCGTTTGGAATAACTTAAAAAGGTGTTAAAAATTGAGGTTAACATCTTCAATTAATTTTGACCACGCAGGTTATGGAACCTATAACTTTCATCAACTTTTTAATAATACATTTCATCAATTTTTATCGAAATCTGCTAAAACTTTTATTAAAAGCTTTGTTAAATAACCCCTAAATAAAATACCTAAACAGAAGTGTTACAACCCACATTTTATCTAGTCAAAGTCAATAGTGAAATTTTCAAAGTCAAGTCCATTAAGGTTTAAAATGAAATTAAATATTTTATTTGAGTTTATTTTGCAATTGACAAAATATGAAGGTTAAATTGGATACATTTTAAAGTTAGGAATTTACTTATATATTTTTGGAAGTTCTAGGATTAAATGTCATTAATAAAGGGAGTTGAAGGACTTATTTGCAATTTTGGGTCAGTGGAGCATTATATTCAACCATTGACCCATTTTCACTAAAAAACACACACACACATACACTGAAGAAAAATGGGCAGAAGGCTAGAAGGCCGAGAAAGAAGGGAAAAATTAGGGACAAAGGGAAGAAAAAAGGAAAGAAGAAAAGAGAAGAAGAAGAAAAGAGGTAAGGCTAATCTCTTCAAGCTTGGGTTGAATTTTTCCATTTGTTTCAAGTGATAAATTATGAATTATGTTAAAATTCTAGGGTTTTATTTTGGCTCGAAATTTTCAGATTTTTGAGATGAATACTATTTGGAACTCAAGTTATTGATTCTTGAATTTCTATCTACATTAAGGTAAGGAGATGTCAATTTTTTTTTTGGGCAAACCCTAATTTTTAAATTTGATGATTGAGCATGGATAATTTGTGCGAATGATTACATTAATGGAATTATTCACTTGGCAGTTGATTTTATGGAACAAAATGTATATTAAATGGGTGGAATTATGGTTACTAGTTTCACTTGATTGGAGAGTAAAATTAGTTTTAAACTTGGGAAGAAGGTTTTGTTGATGAATTAGTTATTAAAAAAGGGATTAGAAAGTGGAATTAGCTCCAATTGATCAAAAGAATATTTGGGAAATTCATTCGAGCATCGACCAATTTTAGTTAAGTATTATAGAAGTAGGTCTTAAAGTTTCTTAATTTAATAGTTGTTGATTAGTCATCGTGTTATATATTCCAGGTGGTGACGAGGAGATTGGAAGAGCCTATCGACCATCTTAGGTTCAGCTTGTATTATGTGAGTGGATAAGCTTATTTTTCAGAAAATTAGTATTTATTTAATTTATATTAACTCGAAAAATTTATTAATTCATATAGTTTATTTGACAACACGATTTTCAGAATAAAGTTGATTTATAACCAGTTGTTTTTAAAAGTTAAATTCAATTTAGTAAATCATTTTATTAGCATGTTATATGAGTATTAAATGTTTCAACATATTTAAAGTTATTTTCTAAAAACCATCATAAAGTATCCAACTGATTTTACTCTCGTCTGCACTGGTGTGAATGTGTTTCCACAGTGTATGACTTCATATGATTATTTTACCCATTCTGCGCTAGTGTGAATGTGTTTCCACAGCGTATGATCAGTATAGTGATTTTACCCGCTATGCACTATTATGAATGTGTTTCTATAGTGTATGACCATTTTATAGCTCTGCGCGCGTACGATCAGAATTTCAGAATTATTGAATTTCATAATTGAATAACCTTGCTATGTATATCGAGATTAATCGATACACGAGTATAGTTATTCCGGGTACATTTTTGGTGTAATGTTTCAGTATTACATAGCTTATCAGATTTTAGAAATGCAGTATACAGAATAAAAATGTTTATGATTATAGTATATTTTAGTTTTGGTAGTACTATCAGATTCTAAGGTACAGAATTCAGCTTATTCAATTTAAAGAATAAATATTTTAATTTATATGTCTGTGAAAAGAAATTTTATGCTATATGTCAATTTTCAGAAAGATTTTATGAATGGAAAAGTATACTTTTACAAGTATCCAATCACTGAGTTATAGGCTCACATTTTTTTATCACTATTTCTTTTATCAGATAGTGGTTGAGTTGAGCACTACTAAGCCAGTTAATCTATCGAGTTGAGCCATATATTGTCAAGCATTATATGAATCATCTTTTCAGTTTAATAGTTCATATTTTGGGATAGACACCTCTTTTGGTTAGAAATTAGTTCCATGTGTTGGGCTTGTTATGTTTTGTATATATATTATGCATTTTGGAATACTGTGATTTAGAAATTGTTGCAAAAGTCGAATTGTCAGTGTTGTATTTGAATAGTTGATATTTTGAGGGGCCGGTGTACCCTGTTTTAAACTATATGTACATATTTGGGATATTTTATTTTATTTTCAGGTGATTTTAGTTCATTTTTCAGAGGGAACTCTGTCGAAATTTTTATGAAATTATAACAGTCAAAGCATGTCAAATTTGCCTTGGTGGTGGGTCCGGCACTTCGCTAGTATCTACCATCAGTGTACGACATGTGTCGGATCCATTAGGGTGATTAGGACAGGTCGTGTCAAGAAGTCCATAAACAAAAGATAGCTATAGTGGTTGGATTAACTCTCGTATTAGCAATACTCGTACAAACACAACCACTAAGAGTGTAAGATAAACACATTACTAGAATTGAAGTCGAGGGCTATTCCTTGTAAATGTCCCGACAGCAAGTTCGTGTGTAATCGATTGAGGCTTACAATTCTCTCAAGGACAACGGAAACTCCGATAACAACTAGTTCATTGAACCATTCTTATAAACAATTGGTTCATTGGAACTTCAATTCACGATGTTTCATCTTGTCTAAAAGGCTAAAACTATGCTAAAAGCATCTCGTCTGAAAGTTACAATTTATTCAAAAGTTGGATGGTATCTGAGACTGTTATGATACTTAAGAGGAATATGTCAGTAGTTTTTTTAATCAATTGAATGGTATAGAGATCGAATAGTGATTTCATCATACTTCTTAAGTTCTCATAATGAATTTAAATTTAAAAAAAAATAAAATCTTGTCTTCGAAAACTTTTAAAGAGATAGAGTTTGGGCCTTGTGTGTAGTGTCGAGAGTTATAAACCCTAATTCTATATCATTGAGAATAATAAAAATTACAAAAAGAAAAAAAAACGCACAAAAACGCAAAAAATCACGCAAGTTATGAAAGTTCGTCTCATTATGATATTATGTCATCTTTTCATCACTTCATAATTAACTATGATGAGGGCCGACCCGCGTACAAACTTTGTGTAATGTATTATTAAACTCTACAATTTAACAATCTTTTTTAGATGAATATCATCAATGACTCTTCTGTAGTGACAATAATTCCTCAATCCTCAATAAAGAAGTCTGATGGAAGTTCAATTGCCGTTTCTCGATTGAAACAGTCTTGATCAACATATCTATCAAATTCTGACTTTAATTTTCTCAATTGCCAATATTCCATCATCTAAAGCCGCAGCATTGATAGACCAATTCAAAAAAATTTACACTTTTATATTTTTATTCTGGCCTGCAGGCTGGCCGGCCGTTCATCATGAAATTAACTTGGTCAAGTCACCACAATCATATATATTTGAAATAGTAAAATATTGTGATTTCACACCGTCTTTACACATTTTATACAGTACACGGACGAGGTAAACGCTAGACTACATTAATCCAACTGCTCAACTAAATCAACTCGGGGAAAAAAATGGAATTGGGAGAAGTCTGTGGGATATATATAATGCGCATAAACCGCTCTAGATCCGTTCTGATGTTTGGGAAATTCTAGTTTTGAACTTGTCCCTATTGCCATCTTTTCAAGCAATTGACTTCTGAATATTCTCTCTTTCTAGTCAGCAATGTTTTCGTCAACGTTTGACTTTCCAAACATCTATAAATACATAATTGATGCATAGCCAAGCCAAACACAACTAGGAAACAATTGCAAGCACAGAAAAACCAACAAAGACATGGCCAAATTAATGTTGTTCCTCACTTATGCAGCAATACTATCTGCAGCCATCCATGGTAGCCATGCAGTCGAATACACGGTCACCAACAGGGCTGCAACCACCCCCGGTGGAGCCCGATTCACCCGGGAAATTGGAGCTCAGTACAGCAAGCAAACTCTAGACTCGGCCACCAGTTTCATTTGGAGAATTTTCCAACAGAACACTCCATCGCAAAGGAAAAACGTTCCGAAAGTTAGCTTATTCATCGATGACATGGATGGAGTCGCATATGCGAGCAACAACGAAATTCACGTCAGCGCCCGATACATTCAAGGTAATAATAAAAACAACCTAGATTATAATACTTCTAGTTCGTTTTGCATGTTAGACTACACAATCATGGATGTTTTGAGGAAGAAAAATAAATTAAAATCTTTTTGTCCGGTTTATTAATGTCTAGTATTTCATATCAAACGTACTTTTACTTCTCGATCATCATATCTTGGATAAGAATTTATGATATTGTTCTCAATACTAGGTTACTCGGGCAACGTTAAACGAGAAATAACTGGGGTTCTTTATCACGAAATGACGCACATATGGCAATGGAACGGAAATGGAAGAGCCCCGGGAGGTCTTATAGAGGGAATTGCTGATTATGTGAGGCTTAAGGCTGGCTATGCACCGAGCCATTGGGTGAAACCCGGGCAGGGCAACCGGTGGGATCAAGGGTACGATGTAACAGCAAGGTTTCTCGACTACTGTAATAGCCTAAAGGGTGGATTTGTTGCACAACTTAACAAGAAGATGAGGAATGGCTATAGTGATACTTATTTTGTGGATCTTCTTGGAAAAAATGTGGATCAGCTATGGAAGGATTACAAAGCTAAATATAATAACTAAGCACATATTTTTCAACACTGTATTGGAATATTGTAACATGTGAAACATAAAGAATAATTTGAAACCTTATTGTGATAATTAATAAAAATGTACTCTGGCTAGTTTCGATTCCAAGACTCTTTTAATGAGTTTTAATATATAAATGATTGAATTTTGAACTCGTTCTCAATTTTCCTGATTGGTCTATATTTGTTCGTAACAATGTAACTATAATCGATGGATGAAAACTTTCAAAATGAAAGTAGATGCTCAGTTGCCTGCACCGTGTCCAATTCCTGGGGGCTTGTTTGAGGGGACTTTTACTCCTATTTCTTGTAAAAGAATTCATGAGGAAACTATTTTAATTGATATTTGAAGCCACATTGAACTAACTTCATCTTATAAAATTAATCAAATGATATCAAAAACTATGCTAAACGGCTAAACGGCTCCTTGTAACATTGACATGAAAGGGAGATGAGCTACGTGGAGGAATTAGAATTTTAAGAATTTATTAAAATTTACACAACAGCTTCTCCATCTGCCACGTATGAAAGATTGTTAGTTGGCTTAATAGAGTGGCTCAATTGAAACTAAAAATAAAGTTGAGTGGTGAATTTGAAACAAATTAAAGTGAGTTACTGAAATGAAACTTTGCTTAAAAGCAGGATGACCGCTGCACTTGAGTTAAATGTTTCGTTAGCCACTGAACTTTGGGCTATGTCACTACTTACCCACCGAATTTACAAAATTGTCTCATTGGCTACTGAACTTCAATCCGTTACTGCCCATTACCCACTGGCTCAAATCCGGCTGCACTTTCAAGATGTGCAGCATTAATATACATCGACGCGCCTATCTGCGCGTATTCACAAACGGGAAAACGGCAAAGCAAATCCGCAAATTGTGGGGCGGATGAAATTATCTGATCATTCTACATTTAACTGCTGTTACTGAAACCGTTGGAGATCTTCCCGCGGTTCTTATCGGAAGACGATGGAGCTTTCGGCGGCGCAGGCGGCGGTGATGATGTTTCTGTTAAGTCGTCTCATCCTGTCCGCCGTGAAGGCCGCCGAAGACTTCGATGGCGCCTCAATCCTCCGGCGAAAGTCACAGTCACCTGTAGCTGGGCTTTGCGCTCAACTCATCGAACCTTCTGGTTTCCCTTGCTCAGAACACAAAGTAACCTCTCTGTTTATGTATTAAAATTTACTTGACCGGAATCGTTGCAATCTATGAAATTGGTTTTTCTAAATCATATTTTGGTTAGTAAGTAGAATAGGACAAAATACTGATTATCGTTTTCATGTTTTCATAATTAATTAAGGGGTGGCTTGTTGACAACACCAATCTTAAAAATCTGATAGAATTTTGAGCTTTGCGAGATTCTATCTTAAAAATCAATGTTAACTTGGATTAGCCCAAACTCTGCATTGATAATTGTTTTTATATTTAAAGCGATATTGCACATAACCATGATAATTAGGAGTTTAGAACTTAGTGAATGCCAAGAAGGGTTTTTGCTAGCAAAATGATCGTATAGCATTGGCTGTGGAAATTATATGAAAAGTAGTTTTTAATCACAAATAGATAACTATAATTCTTGTAATCTTGATTTGAATTACATGATCATTAGACTGACCAATTTTATTTTTAAGCTATTTTTTCATTTGTATGGTTAAATTATACTATTAACATAAGTGAGGTGTGTGATCAATTGTTTTAGACACAAACAAAAGATGGATTCATACTGGGACTTCAGCGTGTGTCATCTAGCTCTGGAAATCTCAGAAGACAAAGGGGTCCTCCAGTTCTGCTTATTCATGGACTTTTTATGGTAATTCTTTTCAGTTGTTCTTTTTATTATATGGATACTTTGAGGCCAAAAAAGAAGTCTCTTCTATATTTACTATTTTTTGTTGGCTTCGAAACATTTCATTCATCTCATGCCTATCTTTATTACGTGTTTGAACTTAATAATGCAATCTTCTTGATAAAGGGGAAGCTTAGTTTAACGTGAACTTAGCATTCCATCATGCATATTGAAGCCATTTTTTAGCTTGATATTCTTGAGTTCTGTCCTAATTTTGTTTTGACAGTGGAATTATGCTCTGTGCAAGTTTAGCGATATTTCTTATTTTTGACCAACACTGGGGAGTGCATACATGCAAATGCTTGCTTTCTGTGTAATTAGATATTAGTCCATGCTAGTCATGCATTGACATTTTCTTTTCTTCGTAAAGTGAAAACTAGCGGTTTTCCATTTAATGGTTCTTCTACTTTGATCATATTAATGAAATTTATGTCTGACCCTTTTTCATTGACCAATTGCATAATCCATGACTTAACAGGCAGGTGATGCATGGTTCTTGGATAACCCAAATCAGTCCTTGGGGTTTATACTTGCAAATCGTGGTTTTGATGTCTGGGTTGGTAATGTGCGTGGGACACGCTGGTGTCATGGCCATGTATCTTTATCAGAGAAAGATAGGGTAATACTCCTTATGCTTTGAATACATATTTGTAATAAGAATTCTTACCATTTTAAATATAATCAGAAGATGGTTCCAACGAACAAAAAAGAAAGACAGGTTTATGTTTAAAGGATCATTATTCATGGTACTTGCTCAAATCTTTGGCCAGCCTTGTCTACTACAAGTTTCAGTTATCTCCTTGTTTCCTAATGAATAATGATGATATATTAAGTAAACTCTCATATGATGATTCGTCGATATCCATAATATTCATTCTTTTCACAGTGATTATTAAGTTATTTTTGAAATGGAAACATGAAAAACTCATATAGGTTCAGTTTATATGGACATTTATCAACAAACAGCATTGTTAAACTTAAATCTGAGCCAGAGCATGTGCAGCAATAGCATTTGATGAATTTGTTGCCTCTCAAAACATGCAAGATGATTACCTGATTTGTCCAAGACACTTATCATTTAATGTGAAAAATTCAAGAAATTATATGAAAAGTAGTTTTTAATCACAAATAGATAACTATAATTCTTGTAATCTTGATTTGAATTACATGATCATTAGACTGACCAATTTTATTTTTAAGCTATTTTTTCATTTGTATGGTTAAATTATACTATTAACATAAGTGAGGTGTGTGATCAATTGTTTTAGACACAAACAAAAGATGGATTCATACTGGGACTTCAGCGTGTGTCATCTAGCTCTGGAAATCTCAGAAGACAAAGGGGTCCTCCAGTTCTGCTTATTCATGGACTTTTTATGGTAATTCTTTTCAGTTGTTCTTTTTATTATATGGATACTTTGAGGCCAAAAAAGAAGTCTCTTCTATATTTACTATTTTTTGTTGGCTTCGAAACATTTCATTCATCTCATGCCTATCTTTATTACGTGTTTGAACTTAATAATGCAATCTTCTTGATAAAGGGGAAGCTTAGTTTAACGTGAACTTAGCATTCCATCATGCATATTGAAGCCATTTTTTAGCTTGATATTCTTGAGTTCTGTCCTAATTTTGTTTTGACAGTGGAATTATGCTCTGTGCAAGTTTAGCGATATTTCTTATTTTTGACCAACACTGGGGAGTGCATACATGCAAATGCTTGCTTTCTGTGTAATTAGATATTAGTCCATGCTAGTCATGCATTGACATTTTCTTTTCTTCGTAAAGTGAAAACTAGCGGTTTTCCATTTAATGGTTCTTCTACTTTGATCATATTAATGAAATTTATGTCTGACCCTTTTTCATTGACCAATTGCATAATCCATGACTTAACAGGCAGGTGATGCATGGTTCTTGGATAACCCAAATCAGTCCTTGGGGTTTATACTTGCAAATCGTGATTTTGATGTCTGGGTTGGTAATGTGCGTGGGACACGCTGGTGTCATGGCCATGTATCTTTATCAGAGAAAGATAGGGTAATACTCCTTATGCTTTGAATACATATTTGTAATAAGAATTCTTACCATTTTAAATATAATCAGAAGATGGTTCCAACGAACAAAAAAGAAAGACAGGTTTATGTTTAAAGGATCATTATTCATGGTACTTGCTCAAATCTTTGGCCAGCCTTGTCTACTACAAGTTTCAGTTATCTCCTTGTTTCCTAATGAATAATGATGATATATTAAGTAAACTCTCATATGATGATTCGTCGATATCCATAATATTCATTCTTTTCACAGTGATTATTAAGTTATTTTTGAAATGGAAACATGAAAAACTCATATAGGTTCAGTTTATATGGACATTTATCAACAAACGGCATTGTTAAACTTAAATCTGAGCCAGAGCATGTGCAGCAATTGCATTTGATGAATTTGTTGCCTCTCAAAACATGCAAGATGATTACCTGATTTGTCCAAGACACTTATCATTTAATGTGAAAAATTCATGCATATGATGCTGGGAACTTTTCTTTTCTATGAAGCAGCATTTTTATACATTTCACGTCAGCCAATGATCTAATTTTCAGTTAGTGCTTGTTTGTTTAGGAATTCTGGGATTGGAGCTGGCAGGATTATGCTCTTTACGACGTGCGAGAAATGATTCGTTATATATACACAGTTACAAACTCGAGAGTGTTTGTCATTGGACATTCTCAGGTTTTCAATCTTATGATAGCTTGAGTTTTGCTTTATTGCATACAGGATGATATGGTGGCTTGTGATACATCTGCTTCTTTTATAGGGAACAATAATTTCTCTGGCTGCCTTAACTCAACCAGACATAGTAGAGATGGTTGGAGCAGCTGCACTTCTTTGTCCTATAACATATTTGAATCATATCACTGCTAGATTGCCTCTTAGATTAGTTAAAATGCACCTTGATCAGGTTTGTTTTGTGCCCTGATGTCTTTCTTGCTGGAAATGTTTCCAGTCATACTGAAAACCGGTTATTTTATTACAGATTTTTCTTGCAATGGGCATTCATGAACTCAATTTCAAAAGGTCTTTTAACATCTATTTTTTTACCTGTTCCTTAGTAACTGTCTAGCTGTCTAGTTATAATTTTATTAGCTTTGACTTTCTCCTCTGATGCATTCAGTGACTGGTGTACTCGCATCATGGATATGATGTGCGACGGACATGTAGATTGTGGTGACTTGCTAACTTCTGTTACAGGTCCTCTAACCATAACTGGTTGATTCTTTTTTTTTTCTTTTCCCCACCTTGTTGAACGATCTAAAAGCGTAAGTTGTGGAAAGGGGACACGTTTATACATGTAATTTTAGTCTTTGATACTCCCTTTCACTTGAAGGGCTGATTCCATTTTATTAAAATGCCATGACACCTACCAATTTTCATAAAATGGGTGTAGGTAAGATTTGAACATAGGATCTTTGTCTGCTAAGATATCATGTTGAACTTCCTTACTTAAAATCTTAAGCTATAAGAGGGGCCAAAATTATGCATTTAAATTGTGTCTTCAATACATCTTTTGGATAATAAGGTGTACGATAGAACATCGAATGGTTCTCAATCTCTTTACTCCACAAATACTTACACTTTCTGCTGGAAAGCTAGTTTGATTCGCATTAGTCGACAAAAGCCTAGTTGCTTTGGCGACTCTCATTGTCTTGTGAGAAAGTTTCAGGTGGAATGAAACTAATGAAAGGAAGAGAGCTATTTTGTTGTATGATAAGGATACACTGATCGCTTGATCTTGGAAATATCGGATTCTGTGTCCACCCAGTTGTTCAGCCTTTTTGGGACTGTTCTTCAGAAAATATAACTTGAAAGTCTGTATTAGAAATGCGTACACGACAGGTAGCTACACGTGTTGGAAAAAAAAAAAAAAAAGCTTATTTGTCTTATATGAGAAAACATATTGATACTGTTTCAGTTCTTTTGACGGGATCACTCAATTCTTAAAATTACATTTTCTTAACCACAAAGTGTTCACAGGAATACCTCAAATAGAGCCATTTTCTAATTCTGTAGCACATGGGCTCATATGTCAGAGAACTAAAAACAATATTTGAGAATGTTCCAGAAGAGGCATTAATGCTTTAATATCCTTGCTCATTTCCTGAAGGTTAAAATTATTGCATAACTAATTTGGAGTATTGTTTTTGGGATAATATTAGTTTTGTGTGGAACAGATCCACTTGCATGTACTGAATTATTTGCTTCCGAATCATCTTGAAAACAATTTTCATTTATTCCATATCCAGTAGGTGCTACTTTTGTTTCTGTTGTTATTTTTGATCTGATCATTCGTTGTTGAGGTAGAGTTTTGATCAGTGAAAACATTTTTTATTAGTGGTTCAACACACTATGCTATTAAAATATGGTCGGTCGTAACGACTTTTGCTCTGTGACTGTGTGTCAGCTGATCTTAACAAATATATCTAGTTATGCTGTACTCTATAATCTTGTTGCATCAATTAAAACAATATTGTCAGCAGATATGACTCAAAGGAACCTTACATTGAACACAAATGGTAGCTCCTTTTTTTTTTTTTTTTTTGAAAGGAATAATGCTGTTGTAGAAATGCAATATTATCAACTGACAACTTTGTGATATTATATGATGCACGATTCTCCAAAACAAACTGAATCTTGAATGAAATGTGGTTTGGCATCAGACCGTGCACTTATGTTTGTGATATTGCTTTAAATGCCTTTTTAAGCTTATGCATCGGTTATTACGTGCAGGGAAGAATTGTTGCTTCAATAGCTCTCGGATCGATTTCTATCTTGAATACGAACCGCATCCAACATCTACAATGAATTTGAATCACCTCTTTCAGAGTATGCTTTTATGCTTTATAATTTGTGGTTAGCTTTTTTCCACACATGCATTACATATTTTATCTTCATTTTCTCGAATAAGTTCCCTAATTTACTCCCATCCCCACCCTACAAAGAAAGAAAAATGAAAAACGAAAAAGAGAGAGAAATGCAAAATGAAAAAAAGACAATGCAATTGGAGAAGTCTTCATTTTGTTCAATTTGAGTCTCTGAACTTCAACGTTTGTTACAATTTCATAATGCATAGGGCCAGCATCTTTCTTTATCTTGCTTAGTTTGACTAACGTACAAATGACATAGCGGTTTAGTTGGCAAATACCTAAACTACCAAGTTACCTTTTTTCCTTTAGTAAAACCAATGGGTATAGACAGTGACTATATTATATTTAAGTTCAGTGACCAGCAGCGTATCTACACTGTGAAAGAGAGTTTGCCTCTCGATTTTGTTGTTTGTGTGGATTCTCGTGCACAACTGCACCTGGCATACTTGCCACTTCCTTTCTTTTTTATCTCCTAGCACTAATGCTCTTTCGCAATTTTGCAACAGTGATCCGTGAAGGTACTTTCGCGATGTACAACCATGGAAGGTGGAAAAACATGTGGCACTATGGCCAACTGAAGCCACCAAAATTTGATCTTAGCCGAATTCCCAGTTCCTTACCATTATGGATGGGATATGGGGGAAATGACGCGTTAGCAGACATTACAGATTTGCAGCATACTCTCAAGGAATTACAATCAAAGCCAGATTTGCTCTATCTTGAAAATTATGGTCATCTAGATTTCCTTGTGAGCACGAGATCAAAGGAAGATGTTTATGACAAAATGCTTGCATTTTTCAACTCACTGGAACACTTAGCGGTAGTTACTGATTAACTGCTTGGACGTGTGAACTGGACAGCCTCGATAGTGTTAAGGAAGAAAAAAAAGTTAAAATCTTATTCATTATACTTTCTAATATTGTGTATCAAAAAATGCACATAGGGGTAATGTAATTGTCTACTTATCATCTAAATTTACCGTAGTAGTTAATTTACCATTTAAATGTAATTTCATACTTTTGATGGACTACTTGTTGCTCAGTGTCTCTACATGAGTATTGTAAATAACTTTATAATGGTAACGGATTATCACCAAATTTCAATAAAAGTATTTGAAAGTTTTTGTTTCACGCTTATGCACAGACGTGTAACCTGCTAGAGTTTTCCTGTGATCCTATCTGCATTTTAGTTGAGACATCAATTACGTAAAATCACTTGGAAGTTGGAAACGTAATTTACTGTAAAATATTTCCCATTTTTCGTAGAGAAGAAACTGATCAACATTTAATATAGGTTAAATACAACTATTCCAAAACATATTAAACGTGTCATCAGTTTAGAAATAAGTGCATAATTCAGTTCTTTAGTATGCCCGTTTAAATAGGTTTGGTGATGGAACGAGAGGATCTCTAATGGAGTGGCGGATCCAGGAAATTTTTGCACACGGGTTACAACTTAAAAGTCGATATAATAAATTAATATATTATATTAAAGTCAAATTCATTTAATTTGAAGTTGTTCCCGACGAGGTTTTGAAACATAAAATTCATCTATCACAGACTCTATATCTATCTTTTGAGCAAGTTCTCGTTCGATGAAGAGTGTCATACAATCAACAAGAAATTCAACCTCCATTTTGTTACGAAGATCCGTCTTCACATATTTCATTGTCGAAAATGCTCGCTCAGTAGTAGCGGTAGAAACAAGTAAAGTAAGTACAAGATGAATCAATCTAGTAACCATAATATAAATATCCGATATTCTACTCTTAGTTAACTGTTGACATAACTCAACAAGTGTAGATACTTGAAATCGAGATTCAGTTTTCACATCCAGCTCATAGTGTCGCAACTCATATTCCAAAGTACGAATATCTTGATTTGAAAAATCTTTAGGATAGAATTTCTCAGCAAGTGTACAAATATCGCAACTGTTAAATGATGCAAATGAATCTCTAGGATCCAAAGTTGCACTAAGTGTGAGAAGTTCAACTGATGTATCATTGAATCTTGTATTTAATTCCATCAATATGTAATATGTTGCTTCATTGAAAACATCAAAGTGATAATGATGCTTCGTTGTAATTGGATCACGAAAACGACAAGGACCAATCTTATATAAACTTTCTAGATCGGGTATCTCAATATCTTGTTTTGAGCAAAACTTTTTCACTTCCTCAAGAAATTCTTCTCAATCATCATCTCTTAATTTGTGGAGGAGTTTTGTTGTAGTAGAAACAAATCTCATAGCAATCAGGATGTCTTGAGATTTTCTTTGAAGGGCCTGACAAAGAACATTGGTTATTCTCATGATGGTATGCATTAAATGCAAACTGAAGACGAAATCAAAATTTTTCATATATTTGTAAGTGCTATGAACTTCGCCCTGAGATCTTCCATTTGGACAGTGAACACTAAGATTTTCAAACACTTTGCAAGTTGCATTATACATATCTATTAAGCTCTTTATAGAGTCATAATGAGAACTCCAACGAATTGCTCCCGATCGTTGTAAATTACCCACTTGACTTGCTCCACTTCCCGACTCACGCTCCCCAGTAGCTAACTTATGCTCAATTTCATTTCTTTGAGTAGATTGTAACTCTGTAATGTGCTTAGGGGAAGAAGTGATAATGTTGATAATATTGTCCAGATGAGAAAAGAACTCCCAAATAACATCAACTTCTTTAACTGCATAAATCAATACCAACTATAATCGATGAGCAAAACAGTGGACGTAATACGCATATGGACAATCTCTAAAAAACAATGTCTGAAGTTCATTCCAAGCGCCCCTCATATTACTAGCACCATCATATCCTTGGCCTCTCATTTTTGCCACTTCATGTTCATGTTGAGCAAGAACACTTATAATCTCATTTTTTAGACTTGATGTTGTGGTGTCGCTGATGCTTTTGATATCAAAATACCTTCACCATTCACAAACCTCAAAATAATAGCCATTTGTTCTCTCTTAGATGCATCTTGTGGTTTATCAACAAGAATACAAAAGTATCCATCCCCAATTTCTTCATGAATCATCCTTCTTACTCTATTCGTCATTATGTGTAAGATTTCATTTTGAATACTCGAAGCAATGTATTGTGCATTTTTTGGAGCATTTTCAGCACAACTTTATCAATTTCTATATTCGTTTCTATCAAAAATTTTATCATCTCAATAAAACTCCCGCAATTCAATGAAGATGAAGATTCATCATGACCTCTAAAGGAACAACTTTGAAATGCTAGCTATCGAGCACTTCAAATTGAAGTCTTTAAATGTAGACGACGTTTCTGAACTTCTTCATTCGATATGGTATGCATCACTTTATTAATATGTTGAGACGGTTTCATTAAATCTTTAGCTCTTCTCTCACACATATTATGTTCCGATGATCGTAGGTGAGTAAGAAATACACATTTTGCTCCGTCATTAACCCTCTTCCACTGGTTATATCCAGAAGTTACCAATGCTGAACAATTAGACGGATTACCATCATTTCGAAAAAGATAACAATAAAAGCAATATGCTCTATCCGTTGTAGGTGAATACTCTAACCATGGAAACTAGTTGAACCATTTTGCACGAAAGCGACGAGACTGAGATTTTCCTTGTGTCTTAGGATACTCAACAAGTCTTGGTTGATAAGATCCAGCTTTTAGATATGCCACTCTAATCTCATCTCGCAAATTAGAAGGAAATTATAGTGTTTGCATTCTTTTCCCCGGTTCCCGTTCAATGCTAATATTTGAGGATGAATGGCGTTCAACTTTAGAAAGAAATGGAGGTAGATATTCAATTAGTCCATCAAAAGTTGTACTTTCAGTAGGTCGACCAGCCCTTTGGAAGAACAAAAACAAGTTCTTATTCTTTTTGAGAGGAGGTTGACCTTTCATTTTCAATTCATAAAATTGGAAAAAAAAATAAGAAAGGAAAAAAGAAAAATTCAATCATCAGTGATATTATTCTAGCAACAATCAATTATTAAACCAACAAGACAACAACAACAATCATTAAACCGACAAAGCAACATGTTAACAAGGCAACAACGAGTTATTAAGCCGACAATGCAACATTTCAACAATAGTTAATTAACTAATTCAATATTTTGCCGGCAAGGCCACAAGATGAGAGACGAGGGCATTTAATTACAATGGACAAGGGAGTATATTGAGCTTTCGTAATTTGTTTTTCCTACATGTCCACTGGACTGGGGCTGCATCTGTGCCTTGATGATGATAAATTTACTGCATTTTTTAAACTGAAAAATAATTCAATTAAGCATGTTGACAATCGAATTCTCAAAGCAAAAATTTTAAAGATGCTTAAAGCATAAAGTTTTAAAATGCTCTAGTATTTAAAAAAATATATATATATTACCAAGCGACCATTTCAAATTTCAAAAAAAAAAAAAAAGATAAGAAAACTTCAATTTTTGAAAAACTCATACTCAACAATCAATACTGACGACAAATATATAAAAAAATAGTCCAAGTTATAAAATTTGAGTTACTATCGAGTCATACAAGTAAACATTTTTTTAATACTTTTTTATTCACTTTACAGTTAATGGCTTAATGCAATTGGTTCTTTTTTGTACTCTGTGAAAATCATTCAAGATACTTTTAAACAATATAAAAATAAAAAAAGTTAAAAGAGACAGATATTTATTTCAATTACTTGTGCAATTGTGCTTTAAACCACTTATGACTTAACCATTAACCACAATTCTTTAATTTGCAAACTGTAACTTTAAGAATCCCCATACGGCCATACACTATGTCTATATAAAAGGCTCTTCAGCCTTTCTTTTTTCCGGCTCCACTACTTGTGCCACTGGTTCTATACAAGACATTGAGAGAGAGAAAGAGAAAGAGAAAGAGAAAGAGTCAGAGAAAGAAATGGAGAAGCCGAGAAGGATAGAAGATATTTGGGGCTGAGCAATGATCACAGTTTTCCTCTACTGCTTCACGACACCGACTACAGGTAACAATTTCTACACTTCGAAAGAATCAAAATGGCACTTACCAATTCAAAATCCGTTGTTGTCTCACTAAAACACACTTTTAAGAGATAAAATCTTTTATTTAGGTAATGGGTTTCTTAATTTTATGGAAATTTTTGATTGAAAATTTGAAAAATAGGTTGGAGTCTAAGAGTCTTCGTCTCTTCAAGAATGGAGAGATTGAGAGAAAGGAACGTCCATTTGATTTTGATTTCTAACCTGGACTGTTGGTTGTCATTTGTCAAGGGATTAATATTGGATTAGAATTAGATTGGGTTTGGGTTTGGGTTTGGGTTTGAGTTTAAATGGATAATAAAATTTATGTTTTGTTTGGGCCAAAAAATTAAAGTTGGGCCATTTGCTCATTTTATTGCAACTAGGCTCACTCTAGACGGGCTGGTTTTCAATTTTACACGGGATGATTTTAAATTTTACATGGGCAACAAAAAAATAAAAAAATAAAAACTATGGATTGATGGATCTGGGCTTGGGCGAGCCCGGGTGGATTCGCCCCTGCTCTAATGTTAGCATGAATTGTATTAAAAGAAATTGAGTGATGCTTAATATTTGTCTACGTGGTAGTCAAGGTCCACTATGTAGGATAATTTGTTACCTTAAATCACCGGATCTTCCTGTTGGATCATCAAAAAATACATGAATTATAGCAGAAGCGTACCTGAATCCGACATGGTTAACGGAATACTTGAATCCTGCAGTATAGTTTTCCAAATCTACACGCAGTCCATAAATCTTTCTGGCGATGAGAGGCAAAACAGAATGAGCAAATACGTACGTGTGATTTGGGGACCATAATCGTATTTATATAGCGATGCCTTTGACCTAATTCGGCCCATCATAAAATTATGAACTTGGTCCCGGCCTTTACACATATAGAACATATACTTTAATTGGATGCATAACGGCCCAAAATTGAAGCCTTATTAGATCACTTTTAACTGAACTTAATCGAATTTGATAGCATTTAATTCAACACACAATTCTTCACACATATAAGCCCATCGATTATTAAAAATCCTTACAATCTCCCACTTAGGCTATATGTATTACCTTATAATTGTGCATTAAACATAACCTTATGAGTACTCAGAATTTTGCTATCATTACTGAATGCATCCCCAGACAATCTCGTCCATCAATCATATCAACATAGGATCAAAGCGGCTTTCGCTTCTTTCATGTAGCTAAATCCATCAATGGTCATGTATATCCATATAATTGAATAACATAGATCAAGCATGAATGTATAGAATGAAAATTACATGTTATGTGATATGTAACATGCCTATTTTCAACTAATCCACCTTAATACACTAGTGAAATCATTTTAAATAAGTTCAGAGATAATAAACCAAATAACTTTATAACTGAAAATAATTTTAACCATAAATCATATCCAAAATAACAGTACATGTGTCTAATATGAAAAGCAAAAATGCAAACTCCCACTGAAACTAAATATCCTGAAGAGACATTACACTCATATGAGCAGTCTGCTCATAAAAGACCTTGGGTATCAATCCCTTAGTAAGCATATCCGCAACTATGGAGTTTGTCTTAATATGCTCTATTGACACTTGTCCATTTTGAACTCTTTTTTTAACAGTCAGGAATTTGATCTCTATATGTTTTGACTTTGTCAAGCTCCTGTTGTTATTGGAATATAGTATTACTGATTTATTGTCACAAAATATCTTGAGCGGTCTTTCTATATTGTCCACAATGCACATCCCAGTGACAATTACGTAGCCATATTACATGATCTGATGCCTCATAACACGCTATAAACTCCGCTGCCATGGTGGAAGTAGTTATAAGTGTCTGCTTAGCACTCTTCCAGGAAATAGTACCTCCAGCAAGCAAGTAGATATAGCCTGAAGTGGATCTCCTACTATCTTTGCATACCGCGAAATTGAAATCAAAATAACCGACGATCTCCAACTGATCTGATCACCTGTATGTGAGCATTTAGTCTTTTGTTCTCTGTAAATACCGTATGACCCATTTAGCTGCTTTCCAATAATCCATTCCCGGGTTACTTAAATATCTCCATAGCATCCCAACAATGTACGCTATATCTGAATGCGTACAAACCTAAGCATACATTAGACTCCTTATAGCTGAGGAATAAAGAATCTTCTGCATTTCTTTAATGTCCAAGTCATTTTTAGGGCACCGATTTAAGTTGAACTTGTCTCCTTTAACTATAGGGGTGTCACTAGGTTTACAATCTTGCATGTCATATCTTTTAAGAACATTTTCGATATAACACTTTTGTGATAATCCAAAAATACCCCGAGAACGATCTCAGTATATCTGAATTCCTAATACAAAAGAGGCGTTATCAAGATCTTTCATCTCAAAATTCTTCGCTAGAAATCTCTTCATTTCGTGCAATAAGCCTATATCGTTGCTGACAAGCAATAAGTCATCGACATATAAAACCAGAAAAATATATTTGCTCCCACTGAACTTGTGGTATGTACAATCATCGATCAAATTCATCTTGAAACCAAATGAGATGATCACTTGATGAAACTTGTAATACCATTGACAAGACGTTTGTTTGAGTCCATAAATGGATTTCTTTAATTTACAAATCATTTGCTTTACATCATCCAATACAAAGTTTTCTGATTGTACCATATAAATTGTTTCATCAATGTCACCATTGAAAAATGCTATCTTAACATCCATCTGATGTAACTCAAGATCGAAATGCACTATCAATGCCATTGTAGTCTTGAAATAGTCTTTCGAAGAAATCGAAGAGAAAGTCTCTTTATAATTGATACCTTCTTTTTGTGTAAAGTCTTTTGCGACAAGACGAGCCTTATACCTCTCTACATCACCCTTCGAATCCCTCATGGTTTTAAATTTACATTTGTAACCAATGAGTTTCTCACCTTCGGGCAATGGAACGAGATCCCATACATCATTGTCTTTCATCGGCTTTATCTCTTCATCATGGCATTGAGCTACTTTTGAGAGTTAGAACTTTTCATGGCTTGACGGAAGTTGATCGGATCATCTTCCA